CAAACAAAACAAGGCTTCACAATTCTAATTTGAACACAAATCATTTCATTGTGTCTGAAGAACTGACTTAATGAAAACAGCCTCAGGTTTTTGAACACCCACACAAATGACTGTTTACATTTTACCCCCTTAATTAATTAATTCATACTGAATGTTGCTCCTAATTACAAATACGGCTCCATGCCATACGTCTGTTGGTGTAGTGGCACATTTTAGGTGGTTTTTAACATTTGGATTGCCAAAGTGTTATTTGGGCCTCATATAGACCAGGCTATTATCAGGTTGGTCTATTAGATATTTTGAACACAAACTGTATGGAGGGCACGGCACATGCAAGTCTGCAACATTATACATGTTTGTTTGTCTTTTAAAGAAAGAAAAAAAAAACATAACTTAAGAATTCCCCCTCTGTCAATTTCATAAACGTGCATGCCAGTCAGAACGGGTGTTTGATATAAGAAGGTATGTCCGTTGTATTTTGAGGAACAAGCGGTATTGACTTCCTCCTTCTACTTCCTTAATTTTTCCTTTTCCACTCTACAGGATACACCTTAAAGGCTACAGTGGAACAGCAGGCAAAATAAGCAGCATCGGTCAGCCAGGAAGTGATTTCAGTACAAAGGACGCAGACAATGACAAATGTGTTTGCAAATGCTCACAACTGACAACAGGGGGTAAGAAACTTTGTCTCATAGAATGTGCAATTTACAAGTGTATGCATTCGATAAACTGCAATAATTACAGCACAACATGGTGGATGCCAGAATTTCAAACTCCCCACTCTCCTAAATGTATCTTGGCACTTTCCTAAAATCTTGGAAGGACATTATGAGGACTCCTGTTCTTTCTGGCCAGGCCAAAGAGCGCAATTAGACAGAGTTAATCACTGATCAACTCTTGAGGGAATTCAGCCACTACAAGCGCTGACATGAAAGAGCCTGGGAACAGAGCTTTCTCTTTCTCCTTTTGTAGCTAAGATCCTCCCTCCATTGCCTTGCAAGTGACTCTGCTGCCAGAACTTTTGCCTGCCTCTACATTAGAGCGCCGTCAAGTGAGCATAAAAGCAAGAAAACCCTAACCCTGTCCTTTTTCCCATGAGAGTTCTGTCTCAAAGGGGATGCTCTCAATGGATATCATTCACAACTCCACTGACAGAGAGAGACACAAGAGAGAACAGAGTCTGGCGATGAGAAGCTTGGCAATATGAAGCTGTCCATCATGAAAGACCAAATCTTTATATAAACAAACATAATCCCTAAGTAAATGACAAGTTTTAAAAGCGGGATGGGAGAATGCAAACAGACTATAGATTCTAGGCCTGCAAAGAATACTCACGAGTCATTTCAAAGATTTCAAAAACTGAATTTGATTTCGAGATGCAGTTACAGTGGCATCCATTTATCATCATTGTGACAAACTGGCATAAGAATTTACATCTTTTAAGTGTCTCCTGGGATGGATTTGGTGCTGTCCGAGCACTACGTCAAAAAGAATTTATTGCCTTTTTTTAAATTTAAGATCAAGCCACCTTGTTCAAATGTAATTGAGCAACTGAATTGGAAGGCCAATGCAAAAAAAAAACACTCTAATTACCCAATGCCCTATTACTGTGAAACCTTTGAAAAAAAAGTTCAAAGTCTACACTTCGTCAATGCCCAAATACATTTGCACCTACCATTATAAAAAAGCCTTTCCTCTTTAAAATCTAAATCATCACTGAATGTACGCAACATTTGCCTTTTATTTGTGTTTTAGGTTGGTGGTTTGACGCTTGTGGACCGTCCAATTTAAATGGCATGTATTACCAGCGAGGCCAAAACTCCAATCGCTTCAATGGCATTAAATGGTACTACTGGAAGGGCTCCGGATATTCACTGAAGGCCACGTCCCTGATGATTAGGCCAGCAGACTTCTAAGTTTGATCATTTGAATGGGCACTAAACAAGATGGAGCCCAAAAGCACCTCATGACATTCCTGAAAGGGCTAACAGGGGAAGTACTAATTGATTATATTAACTCTTAATGATTTGAACCAAAAATGGTCAAATTAAGGCACGCCGTACACCGAGATGCAGCCAATCCGATTTATCTGTTGCAGTTTGCACCGTTCCATATCTAGATCATCGGCTACTCGCTTTGATGCTTTTCAAAATTAGACTGCAGATCAACAGCGGCGCAACATTGCAGAAATAACGGACGATCATGAATGCCATGTCGTATTACATCAGCTTTCATTCCAAAACCATACGTGTCAGGGTACAAAGCGTGAGGCAGCTGACTGCCACCAAGCCGTACCAATACACAATAATATTTAGCTAAACTGAATTGTACCTCGGGTAAAAAGCAAAACGTGGAGGGTGTTGCTGAAATGCACGAGTGCAATCAAGGAATGAGGAAATCATTTCCAACAGCCCCTCAAATATCTACACTGTCTCCTTTATTTCTCCCCCCATTTACTTTCATTGTATTAACATAATATAGCTGTGGCGGCGCGGGCAATCAATTTCTTCCCTGACAATTGCATAATGTTATTTATTGTTCAATAAAAATTAATATAGTATCGCACATCTGGTGCCTCAGAATTTTGGGCAAAAAAAAAAAAAATAGCAGGGGCTAATGATTATGCGTGAGTTGCAGTCTGCAATTGTTCGTGGTTGCCCAGTTCGTAACGTTCGGTGGCATCGCTCGGTGTGCGGTGGGCCTGACATGAAAGGGGGATGGATGTATTAACAACTTTGGCAATTAGAAATTACACTGTAAGTCTCATTTGTGGTAAAAGTGTACAGTTACTTAGTAATATATACGTTGCTATACTGTAAACTTATCAGTGTTCGGTGTTTCAACCATGGTTGCCAATGACACTTCCCAGAAATAGAGGCTCTGGTACAACATGAACATTGGGTGGAAAACAATTGGCTCTTCATATTTATAATTAATTGCTTGACATTTTTTTCTGTTGTAGATGTCAATAAGGCTAATTGTAAATGACACTGAGAATCTCAGTTTCGAAAACGTTTCTTGTGGCGAATGTTTACACTAGAGTACATTTTGTGTTTTATTTATGTGCGGAATTATTTGAGGATTTATTTGACCTGTTCTGTTGTATCATCACGTCACCTGTATGTGAATCGTTCGAGAACTAGCATTTATATTGCACATAACCAGTGCTTTTGGGAAAAATACATCTTTATTTATGTAATGGTTCATTTGAATCTCTCTTCCAACACTGAGTTTTTATGACAATGTACCTGTAAAGATTAGTTTGTATATAATGATGTTTTCAAGGTCAATTATCACCTTTGGTATTTCAAACAAGTCAAGAGGTTTGGCGTGGGTGTAGCTCGTGGACATATACAGTACTTAAATGTGAAGTACATTTCAGTGGTGATGGGGTTGCATACTTTTATCAAGCAGGAGCAATGAGTTGCATGAAGCGTAGATAGAAAAAAAAAAAAAACTATTGAAAAAGAATTTTTTGAAACCACATCACACTGCAAAAAAATGGCTAAAAAGAAGGCATGCATGTGGTTCTGCATCAACACAATTACCGGTATAAAGTGTACCGCGACAGAAATGTGCTGACATTTGTCTACGTCAAGAGGCTGTCGTTGCTCGCTGTGGCAGCAGAGGACAGTGACTCATGAGTTCAGGAAGAGGCAACATCCACATTTCTCACAGGATACTTCAGGAAAAACAAGCTGACTGAAAATGGATGGCTGGCAATAAAAACTAACAGGCGGCCAACTGACTTCCTCCGCCTAGCATTTATGAGCAATTATTGGATTGAGCGACAGCGAGGGGAGCATCACAAATGCTTTGTATTGTGAACATGATTCATAACAGCAGGCACTGCACAATGCAAAAATAATTTACAACTGTATTTGTCAGAAAGTAAAGAATATAAATCTTTCACTTAAAGAGCAAAGTTGAATAGAAGTTAAGATCACAAAAACCTGAAGCTATAATAACTGAGAATATGTGAAGTGAGGGAGCTAGCACAAGCACGACCATAGCTATTTTTCATTGTTTTAATATTTCATACTTGTCGGTTTAACCAGTTGTACGTTTTTGATCCAGCATACCTGGGGATATTCATTAATTCACTAACAACACCATAAGTATGCGCATAGGGTAAATATTGTATTACGATGTTGTATTACGATAAGTCGATGAATTTCTGGATTCTGTCAATGTTTTTTATATTTTATTTTTATGCTCTGCAATTTGGTGTTTAGAGTTCATATTGTGCTTATTTATGTGGAGGATGAATAATAAATTCAATTCTAAAATTCAGGTCACATGTATGAGCTCCTATACAAAAACTTGTGGAAATGTAAGACTGAGGTTGGAAAATTTTCCATATCAGTCATCATGCATGCAGTGTTTTTAAGAGGAAACGTGTGGCTGAAAATAATCATAAAATAATTATCTAGTTCGAAGAATCCAACTTTTCCCCCCAAAGCCCTTCAAAACAAAAATTGCAATGTGGAGAAACAGGGGATGGGCATAGCCCGTGTCACATCAAAGCGACGGCGCTGCTGTTGTAATGCAGAATTTCAGCCTATGGTGCGACAGAAGCTGCGCACTGCAGCTTTAACCGATAAAAATCAGGCATCACGTGATTTTTGTGATCATAATTTGAGCCTCCTCCATATTTCACCGTAGGCTGTACTCTTTTCATTGCATGCATTATTTTTGAATAAGTACCGTAAACAAAGAGCTGATGTTACATTTTTATCTCATTTGTCCAAAGAATCTTTCCTCCGAAGGTTTCTGCTTTGTCAATATACATGTAGGCAAACTCTGGTTCCATCAATGTGACTTTTTAAATTTTTTTATTGAGCATACACAAAAGAAATCAGCAAAAGTGTAATTTTTTTTTCCAAGATATTCATTTCAGTAATAGTACGGTTATGCTTCAACGTGTCTCTATTGATGAGTACATTAAATAGTCAGCAGCCAGGACTGAAACTCTTTAAAAAAATGGCATGGGTACGCACCTGTGCTGCTGGAAACTGCTCCGAAAGTTCATATGGTTCCTCAGGAACCCACTGCCTTTGCTCCAAGCACCACACAATCTATTGAGGAACGTTGAAAATGCATTTTTTTAAAATCCTGAAGATGGTTTTGTGATTGGTGCCCTAAACAAACAATATACCCATTCAAATGAGAGGATCCAGCAGCCGCGAGCAATGCCCAGTAAAACATTCAGAGTCCGCCGGTGTTCCCCAGAAACCACATGAGTTGTACTCTCACAAACTCGATCAACGATAGAAAAGCCACCCAGTGCCTTCACAACCTGAACGACTGTGTTCTGTTTCCTGGGAGAGAGGAGCAATGGTAGGAGAGGATGATAGATACAGTCATTTCTACACATTGCTTTAAATGCCTATTTATGTTTGTTTTTAGCACGTTTGAATATATTCTCAAGTGCTACTTACTGAGTGGGCATGCTTGTCATGACCAGTGTTCTCACCGACTGCAAGACAGGAGGGATAAACATAATTAGTCATGTATCTATTTTCACAGCAGGCATCTAGCCACTGAAAATGTATGAGCGAAACATTTTACACCTCGTTCTCAATAAGCGCTATGTGTGACTGTATGACAGCATAAACCAGATAAAAGTGTGAATAAATGTGTGGGGTGAAAAAAAACGATCAAAGTAGTAAAGTTGACAAGAAAATCCAGCACCAACAGCGCTTTAAATATTTCCTTTGGGAGTCCACTAGTTTACACTGACACAAGCATCATCATCAAAGAAGACCAGAGTGAGCAAATCTAGTAACTTTGTCACATACATTTGAACACAGTGGACAAAAAGGCATCAAACACTAAATATAGGCACTGAAGCAGAAGTGTGAACGTGTCACCCAAAGGCATGACAATTTGGTGTCTTCACGTCATACGATAGTCAGAAGCAGTTACAAACAGTTCTCTGATATCTGGTCCTCCAGCTGGAAGGACCAAGAGCAACCTGCCAATCAAAGTGTGGTATCGACCCTCATCTCTTGACCTCACCCCTGTTCCAACATCCTATTAATACTGATAAGAAGCGAGGGAGAATTAATCACCAACACACCACAATTGCTACTGCACTGTTGTCCACTACTGTGATGTGTGCTGCCGACTCACAAACGAGGTCAAAAATGATTCATTCTCGGCCCTTTCAAACAAACAATTGCACCAAGAGAAGGGTGGATTAACTCATGAATAGGAAGACAGTGACGCAAGTGACCCTCAGCGCAAGCTAAGGAATTCCTTCAGTGAATGACAAGGTCATATTGACGTCTTGAAAGTGATGCTATTCAACTAAATCAGAGGGACAAGGAAGCTGGGCTGTGAACAAGCCATCAAATGGCTTTGTGGCACAAGTCGTCAATGGCAGTAAGACAGCCACCCATCCATTTTCTGCACTGCTCTTCCAATTACAAGATGAAATCACTTGAAAAATATGGAGGGGAAAAAAAATTACATTATCGAGTTTGTGACCACCTACACTCCTGCCTGCGTTTACAGCACAAGATCATTTCGAGATGGAGAAAAGGCTGGACAATTTAACCGTGACCTCTGAGAGACCCCTGTGTTGTGTTACCTCACGATCTTTACAGAGCAGACAGAAAATCTTCCTAGCTATTTTGAACATTTCGCATTTCTCCCTTGGGTTAAAGGCTGTGATGTTTAGCTCTTTTCAGCTGTGGCATGACGAGGTTTACGGCATAAAGAAAACAAAGGCCAGGTGCATTTCACAAACGAGGAAGTTATATTCTATCACCACAAAAGCAAAACACAGGAAGACCCAAAGACCAGACAGACAGAAGCCCCATGGCGAGATGCAGCCGTACCGAGGAAATACTCGACCTAAACATGGCTGGTGCGCATCCTAAACTGTCTGTATCATGGAATACAATGGATGACATGATTAGATCATATTTTGAGTGTACAAGATAAATACAGCAGATTTAACATATCACCCTCAAAAGCCCCATGAAAAATTGGCGATCATTCCATTTTAACATGTCATTTTTATGTGAACCAGGCAAAACTGGGAGCATAAAATTCAGCTCTGCACTATTTTATGGGAAATGTAAGGAATTGTGAACACCAGATACTGCTGATTTAAAAACAATTCAGTTATTACCTTTGCTCTGCTGATTTTCTGAAAAAAAGAGCAGGGGCGCTTATTGGGCTTCCCCTGGTTGTCCTTTGGGATTTCTGTTGAAGTAACTGGAGCCGAACTTTCACTTCCTCTGCCTACATTGGTAACAAAGCAAAAAACTGAAAACATACAAGATATTGCGGCCACTGTCTGACTTTAAACTGCAACAGCACGAATGCATAAAAGAGGCACCAGACTTCAGAAGAATATTCAGTAACATTCAGATTCAATATTAAATTTTGCAAAGTCTGATCCAAAATGAAAGCGCATTAATTAATGTGCAATATGAAACTGACATTGACAATCACCTAAGTGGCCCAGCGATTATAACGCGCCAACATGTATTATGAGAATATTAGTTCATTAGGGTGAAGGTTTGTTGTTTATTCATGCACAGTGTAATTTGTAAACTTTGGCACCTTTGCTACTCACTTTGAAAAGTGTGACATAATTGACAAACACCAGAGTGACTTTCCAGTTCCAAGGTTGTCATCTTCTCTGTTAGCTTTGCTGGATCAACAAAGACGGATGCTTTTTGAAGCCCTGATGCAGCTTCACTGGCGACTACAAATGGTAAGGTGCTTTGCTTTCTGCCTTTCGCAGCCAGTGTTCTGGTACCATTTGGATGATCAAAAGCAGGCAGATTTTCTTTGAAATCATTTTGTGGATAGGCATTTAAAACAGGCTGCGGCATGCAAATGTGTTCACTATCGTCTAATTTCCTTTTCTTTGAGCCGTTAGTTCCCGTAAGAGCACTTTTACATCTCCTTTGTTTTCCTTTCTTTGGGACATAGTCCAACTCAGTGGGGATGTCAAAATCGGTCAGGTCAGGGAAAACGGGCAAGAGGTGTCTCTTGGGGTTCTTGTGGTGACTGGCTGAAGAGAAGAAGTCGTCAAACACATCATCGTCTCCATCAGGGGAATTCAAAGCAACCTTGCGAGAATTTGTGGAAGAGCTATAGGAAAACGCCAGCGTAGAAAGAGAACGTCTGCCTTGCGTTCGCTTTCTCTGTCGGTGGTCATTAAATAGCATGCCACCAAACATATTACCACATGAGCTTGCAATCTTACTGTTCTTTACCTCCGCCCAGTGATTGCTTTGCCTTCCCTCATCAGACTTGTCAATTGTCTGCTCCAGCATTTTATTAAGAGAACTGCAGGAATGCATCTGTGACGTCCGCTTTCTTTTGCTGGCGTGCTCGTCATCAGCAGATTTGACCTCCTCCCCGAGGCTTTGTGCTTCACCCACAGATTTAGGTTTCTCTATTAATGATTTTGTTCCTGAAGTCATCCTTTGCTTTTCTGGCGTCTTCCCTTCCACTTCATTTATTGTAAAGTCAGGACATGTTAAAGGACTAAAGGACGGGCGTTTTGAAATGTCACGACAGGGCGAGAGCCACGGCTTTGCCAAGTCTTTGCTGAAGGGTTTGTCAGGGCTGTTTTGTTCAGTCACATCACTCTCTTTACAATCTTTTTCCTTGTCAGGGACATGACCAAGCTCAGCAACAGATGCACTAGAGTCCTCATCAGAATTTTCATCTATAGAAAAAGAAAAGAAAAATCTGAGCTTAAAATGTTGCAAGCTTAGTTTTAAAGTGTACTCGAGTGAAATATGACTGCAGAAATCTTTCAGCACTTTGCACACAAGCAGATTGTTTGCCACCCACCCACTGAGACATTGTGAAAAAGCAAATAAAGATTGGGCAACAGGATGATATATTCTGCCACTGTGAATTATTTCTTAGAAGCCGTCAGAGAAACTGAGGATGCAACACAAGTAGTCCACATGAGATGAGACTAAATTGTTGGATTTCAAGATCTGTTTTTTTCTTGGTTGGCTTACAAAAAAACCTGAAGACAGTCGGTGAGTTCTCCAGTGAGGGCTTCACTCCTGGTGATGAAGACATTTGTGAGACTGAAAAAAATCAAAATGAATGTTGTGATTTTAAAAAAAATATTATTTTAAAAAAATGTTGTGAAATTATCCATTCACATATGTGACAAGAATTACCTGTGGGCGAGATATTTTCGCGTTTCTCTTTCATGTGTTTCAAGCGCTCTGCCATATAATCAGTCCTTTTACACGCCGGGCTATACACAATTCCACTGTCTTCATCAATAACAAAAGGTGAATCATCTGTGACTGTGGAGGAGAAACATTTGTAAGAAAGAAAACTACATTATTTAGTGGTGTTAATGTAAAAACATGGAAAAAAGCAGACTTTTTTTTTTACCCATTGTTTGCTTGGGAGCAATGTCTTTCATCAGTTTATCTAACTTCTTCTTCATGCGTCTGTCATTTTCTGGTGTCCTCTCTGGACAGTCTCTAGGCTGCATGCAACGATGCTGCACCATTCAAACAAACATGATATCAACAGGAAAATGAAATGGACTCTTTGGTCACAATATTTTACTGCAAACAGTTGTTAAATTGATGCACATTGTTATACACCCCAGAAAATAAAGCCTGCCCGTGTGGGAGTTAAGAAAAACAACCCAAACTCTGACAGCTTTGAAAGTTGAATGCTATATTTACAAATTTGTTAAATGGTGGATTCAGCACAAGCCAATCTGTCCCACAAGTCATCATGCGTGTTTCTAGGATAATCCCTGGAAAAGCAAATAAAAGTAAAGGAAAACTATTCTGCATCGCTATTCTTGTGTATGTTTGTTTTAGTTAAGTGTTCAGAGTTCTCAGAATTTTATACACATCATGATTGTTACATGCAGTAACTGTGTTCTAATAGGCAAAGCAACTATGTATCAATCAGAGTTTGCTATGAAATCTACATCAGTCTTAACTCCCATATGATGGGGCTTTTTTTTCCTCTCTTTAAAATTGGCATTTCAGAATATCAATGTAACAGCGTTTAAAGGAAGATATATGAGCCCAAGAATCAATTTCATATATCGGAGACTTTACAGATGAAGAAAAACTAAAGTTCTGCATATAAAATGAGTCAAGTGGCAGTGAAAACAACAGGAAAAGATTGACAGAATAAGAAAAAAAAACAGATTTTGCTTTCACAGATGGAGAGAAAATGACTCCTGCCAGCCATCAGTAGGCAATTACAATTACAAACAATAGCACATGAAAAGACTTCACAAGGACAGAAAGAATCTACTTACTTGCTTGTTCCTTAATACCAAATTGCTTTCATCAATGACGGCAGGATACAGCTCTTCATCTACCAGCACAGCGTCATCATGACATCTGGACATCATTTCGGCAGCATTATGTCTCCAAACAATACATACACTAAAGAAACTACACTAGTTTAGTACCAAGAGAGTCATGCATACGTACTTTCCTATCCACAAAACAGAGACGAGCTTCACATGACTCTTTTTGGCTTTCTTCCATGTGGCAGCATGACCATTGTTAAAGACCACATGCGTGACTTGTTTATTGAAAGTTTTTGATACCTGTAATGAAAAACATCTAGTCAGTTATTTGAGTGCAGACTCACTGTTTGTGCATAATACAACATTACCGCGTGAATGCTGAGAGAAAAAACATTTCCACCTATTTTTTTCCCCTCGATAAAATTGTATAATTCTGTTCCATGGTCAACTGCCACCAGTCATTTTAAGTAACATATTGACATTCTAATTTGTCAAAGCACTGTGAAAAATACATTTTGCTCCTGCTCAATTTTTTTATGGCAAAGAATAATAGGAGTAAGGCGTGTTTTGGATATTTCATTTCAAAACACTGTTCCTTAATTAAATTCGATAAGTGTCAACACAAATGCTCACTGAATGAAAGTATTGGTTCAAGCTGTCGTCTTTTACAGCTCCGACGACACACAACGATAATCCTTTATGATTGACTGAAATGAGGCCTTGTGAGGCAGTCCATCTTTTGTTTAATTAAAATCCACACACACAAAAAAGAAAATGGCCCAGATTTAAAAATCATTAGATGCTTTCTCATCTCAGGTCTCCTGTTACGGTGACATT